TTGCAGTGCTGTGTCATATGGGAGTATGGTAATACTTTTAAATTTTGTTTTGCGGGGCTCCCAGTCTCTCTCTCTCTCTTTCTCTCTCTCTCTCTCGGCGTGTGTGGTGTGTCGGCAGCCCTTCCCTTCCTTTCGCGGCTGGCTACCTTATGTCCGGGCTGTTCGCAGCGCCGCCGCCGTCGCGATTTTGATGGTCTTGTGTGGTAATGTTTGCATGTTTCGTCGGGGGGATGGGGGGAGGGGGGGGAAGGGGAAGGGGGGGCGCTCATGAAAACGCATGCCGTAATCGTTAAACCATAGACCTCGCGTCCCTACAATGCTGGGACGGGGCGATATGCCGGATTTTCGCTACGTTTCAAAAGATAAATGAGAAGCTAGTCATGACCTTTGCGTTTGCTGTGCCAAAGCTGATGTATATGCCACGGGTTGATTCGTCTGGGCATACCCCCGGGGGCGGGGCATACTCTTTATGTTTTGCATACCTTAGCGGTTAGACCATTGACCACGCGTCCTCGAGAGGACGGGGCATTGTTCCCACAGGACCGATCACCGATGGCCAATCGTTCCTTCCTACTTTGCCAAAGGTGGCTCAAAAAATGTCTTCCCTAATCTATCTACCCTATCGATGTCACTTCCCGCCTTTTTTACCCACTTCCTACGCCCCAGTACAGCTAACGTCTTCTCCTGGCTATCCCATGCCTCAAACATCTCCCTGTACTGTTCTTGTACTTTTCGCACTTCAGTTGTGTACACCTCCCTCTATTTTCCCGTACAACCGACATTCTAACACGGTCTTCGCATTCGGAGCCGCAATCGCATTTTTTGAACTTGTCGTCTTCATGGTCTACCTTCCTATATCTTCGGGGAGGGGGGGGGTCATGACGAGCGTCTCCTTGAATACTCGAGCCAAACAGTACCATAGTACACACCACCTGGGTAGTGTTGGATATATATGTGCACGGAGCAGTTCGGAGGTAGGTGTATGGTGAAAAACAGGCATGAAACAAGGGGGGGGGGTGCCGTTGGTGGAAAGGGGTGCAAATTAATACCGTGTGTGTGTGTGTTGCGTTGAGCATTGAGGAGAGCTCACAACATGTACACTCTGGCCAACCAGGCTGTTTCTGTCTCGTCCCATCCTTCCTGTTGCGTGAAGACGATCGACTTGGTTGACTAACTCATCATCATCCGTTCATCATCCTGCCTTTCTTGTTCACTTCATTCTCGTGAGCACACTCCCGTACGGCGAGCTGGTCGTCATCGCTCTTCCCAGGACACTATACTGTTCTGAGCAAAGCCCGTGGACTGTTGGAACGATCTCGAGGCACTAACTGTTGAGTGTGCAACTTTGGCCATCTGATCCGGGTCATATTTTTTGTTTTTCGTGCGCAGATGACGCGGCAAAAAAAAAGAGAAAAAATTCAGACCAGGAGGAGGAGGAGGAGGAGGAGGGTGTTTGTCTCAACACCTTGTATACTGTGAAGACTTCGCCGCATCCATTGACAGGGGGGCGATATTGGAGCTCGAATGGGAAGTCTTACTGCGTTTAGTTTTCGCCGCATCTCTTTTCTCAGAAAGCACACGAAGTATTACACACATACATACGACGATACCCTCAAATGGGGCTACCCGCTAGACATATTAGTACCTACTACCACCACCCTGGTTCTTCGTTCGTAAGGTTTGACTCGACTATCGGATGGTTAGGACGTAGCAGGACACTCTTTTGTCGATTTTGATCAAACCGCACGGTGATGGTGCGGGCGTGCTTATTTGCATCCTCACTCACTCCCGTTGGACGCTCGTTCTCGAGAACAGCAGAAAAAAACAATTCGTTTGTTCCGCGGACGGACGGGCGGAAACACAATCAATCAACCGGTGTGTGGTTACCAATAAAAGATGCTACTACTACTGTAACAACCTCGAGCCAAGATTGTTGCGGTGATGTAGAATGTGGAACAAAAAAAAAAACTCTCATCGTCTTCTTTTGTGCAGGAAGGTCTGTCTGCGACTTCTTCTTCTGCACTGACTGCCACCACCGTGGGCGGGTTGTTGCTCACGCGCACCAAGCAATCTGGGCTTCACCTTTCAAAAACGTTGGTGTTGTTTTCTTTGTTTGCCGTTCGTTGTTTGTTGTCATCTTCACATTACAAACCGCTCTGACTACTACCGCTATCACTTCCATTCACACCTCCTCTACTCTTGAGAAGGAAGGGTGAACAAGCAACTTCTTCTGTGGTCACGCAGGTCCACATTAGCATCTATCCGAAATGAGGTTCAAATCAAAGCAGCAAATGAATTACCCATAAAAAAGGGCACGTCATGTCGGTCTCCGGTTCCAAATCTTCGATCATGTATCACTGGATACTTTTCAATCCTCCGTTGAAACTCTCTGCTGAGAAAACGCAGGCACAAAAAACAGCGGTCAGTATCTACAACATCATCAACAGGGTACCCACAAATCTATCTCCTGTGCACCACTTCTTCTACACCTTTCTCAACGCCCACAACTCAACCCTCTTTGACTGCAACATGAAAAATGTCTGCGCCGGATACCCTCCCTCCCCACCCCAGCGAAAATCGGTTCGGACATGCACCTGCAGCTGTTTCACAACCAAACTCGGTGGGCACAGGAAAAAATATTGTTAAGTCGGGATCGGGTCAAGAAGGCGCCTATTTTCACGCCACACATCCCACACACAAAACATACAAAATATGAGCGTGAGTGTCATTAAGTAACAGAGGTCAACCCCCGGGGTATAGCGGGCACCCCCCCCCCTCCCCCCTTTCCCCTTGCGGGCCCCCGCTGGAAAGGACCATAGCAGGTTGCGCGCCTCGACCAAAACACGCAGCTAGCGAAGGACTATCAACCTATATCCTATTATCCTCCACACGGCCGGTGGAATGCATTCTTTTGATTCAAAAGAACAAACGGCCGGCGTCGTAACGTTAAATTAAATTACTGAAAAAAGAACTCCGTTGGTGTGTGTGTATATCTAGAATGGATGGCCCAAATGAATGCTGCGCAGCAAGGCAGCAGCATACCTATCACGCCACCCCCGAAAAGAGCAGCCCGTCGCGTGCATCCTCAAACAGCCACCCCATTACCACCTCCCCCCCCTGCTTCACATGGTACACACCACGGGGCATCATCACATTTCCAAAGTAGCAGGTCTCCACAGGTACCCCGCTCGTGCCAAGCACGCAACCAACCCTCGAAAATTTTCACACACACCCGCCCCCGGCAACGTTCCTCCGTTTTTTGTTTATTGCTACGGATGCGCAGCTCCTCCGCGCTCTGCGTGTGTCATCGTGTGCAAATCCATCACCAATCACTTTGCTCCGCGGGTCTCGAAAAAAACTTCCGAGAAAAATCTCACCTTTCCACAACAACGTACGAAAAAAAATCAAGAAGAAAGAAAATATGATGCCACAAAAACAGCCATACACATCCACACATCAAAGTCACTCTTCAATACCACACATGCACAACCTGCTCTCACGTGAGCCATACATGTACAAGAACTTCGGCCAAGACTGGCTTTGCGCCATACCACACAGAAACGACGGCGATGCGGGGAGACCTACTGTGCTTCCCAACAAAATCATCACTAACCTGCCAACAATCAAACATCCCGGGCACGCACGTGACTACGCCAACGCGCGCCAAGAGAGCGAGACGAGCGACAGCAAAAAAAGAACTGAAAACATGAAAACATGTAGTATGGTGTACCACATTATGCTCCTCCGTTCTGAATAAACATGCATGCTTCTTCTTGTTCGGTTGCGCTTTCTTGTGTTACCGTCGCCTGACCACCGGTGGTACGCACACCGGTGGTACGCACACCGCGACCATCTACGACCGCTGTGCCCCCCCCCCCCCTCTCCCCGCCCGAACCACACACACAACGCATGATGATCCATAAAGAGCTCGAGGGAAGGCAACCTTCTTGGTGTAAAACCAACACGGTAAGCTCCAACCACACACAGTTCAAGAAAACGCAGTCGTTTTACCTTTCCAGGACAGCGTTCAGGTAATCGGTTACTATTGCATGTCCGGGCCCCGTTCTTTACACTCAAGTGGTTTCTGGACCCCCCCCCCCCCTCCCCCGAACATGTTAAAAATATATCCTCGTCCGCCGGCCACAACAGAGAAAAACTGAAAATAATCCACGCACAAAAAAAACAAACTTAATGACTTTTGTTAGCGCCTCTAGCCTGTAGCTGGCTGAAACGGATTCTAGGGCTAGGCCGACGATCATTCTCCTACTGATGTTGCGGAGCCACGGGCATGATTAACCCCCCAACAAGACGGGTCCGCTTGTGAGAGGGGGGAAGGGGGTGTTGTCCCTCCTGAAATATGTGCTAAGAACAAAAACATACAAAAAATACCAAATCAAAGCAGGCAACGAATATATGCACAACCAGAGGAAGGCCGACCGAAGAATGGCCAGACGAGAGAGCACCCCCTAAGATGTGGAAGGAAACAAAAGACGAGCAACCAACTCTCTCACAAACACGTGGAATATCGTACCCCCCCCTACCTCTATACCATCCATCTGACTCCTTTATGCCAGACCCCCTTGACAAACGTACCCATCTCACGCAGGAACATGAAACATACAAAGCATACCAATCAAACACATAGCCGACACACACGACAAAAAAAACACATGCCATCTTCCATCGAGAAAAACAATGCACTAAAGTCTCGCACAACCTAACCTGGCGGCAGCAAACGCCCCAGCGGCAGCAACAGCAACAAGCGCCGCCATCCACAAAACAAACACCCTGCTCCGCGCCTTCCCCACTATTCGAGCCCTGCTCCTGCTGGTCCGCTGTCAAACGATCCCTGGCCACCAACCGCCCCCCTCCCCCCCCCCCCCCCGGGGGAAGCTCTCCCCCAACTAATTAGCTTCACCGCCGATCTGGCCGTCGCGGAGGAAGCTATTTAGTTGTGCCCACCGGACGAAGGCCGGGAAATTTCTTTCTTCACGCTCTCATCACGATTGCGGCCCTTCGGCACAAGAAGCGGCAGGGAGGGGGCCTGGCGGCGAGGGGATCGGCCCGGAGCCGGAAGCGGAGGAGGCCCAGCCGGGCAACACCGAGCCCCCCCCGCTCTCGCTGCCGGCGAGGCTGCCGTTGCTGCTCACGGTGGACGCCGAGCACGGCGGCGTCATGTAGTCGTCGCTGTCGCCGTCGCCGTAGCCCCAGCGGGAGAGGTGCCGGCCCTGATCCAGAGTGCCGGTATTTAGCCTCCCGGGCTTGACCGCGTCGCCTTGGACAGCCGAGGGGAGACCGGACAGAGGAGAAGCAGCGGTGGAATCAGCAGCAGCAGCAGCAGCAGCAGCAGCAGCAGCAGCGTCGTCACTCGTTCGAGCAGCAGCGGCAGTAGTAGAAGGCGACGAGCCATACGAAGGAGCGGGCGCACCTCGCAGTAGCAGGCTGCCGTCGTCCTCGTCGTCGTCTTCGCTGGTCAAGTCGTCGTCGTCACCATCGTCAGAGAGTGCGCCGCCGCCTCCCTCCCTCCGTCGCACCTTCGGCGAGGACACCGGTGCCCGCGTCGACGCCGCCGCTGCTGGCGCCGGCGCGCTGTCCGGCCTTTCCAGCGACGACGAGGCGTGTCCGAACATAAGCCTGAACTTGTCCGCGAGGAGATCGAGCTGGTTCTTCAGCTCCAGCGGCGTGGGGCCCTCCATCAGGGAGACCGTCTTGGCCACCACGTTTGGGTGGTGCTCCCTGAGGGTCAGCGCCGCCGCCTTGTCCTCCGAGTGCTTCGGTGCCGTCGCGACGGCGATGAGAGTCCCGCCTCTTCTTGTGGAAACCCGAACATGGCCGTCACCTCTGCCACCGCCGCTGCCGCTGCCGCTACTCTTGCTGCTGCTAGAAGTAGTGCTGCTGCTGAAGCTGACGCGTCGGCGGTGCCGGCGGCGGCGGCTCGCCCCTGCCACCCTTCCAGCGCCCGCCCCGCCACTCGCAGAAGCTGCCGCTGCCGCTGCTGCTGTCGCGCAGCCAGCCGTGCCGACATCCGCGCTCCCCTCCCGTTCTTCCACCGTCTTCCCGCCGTCCCCTCCTTCAGCCGCCTTTCGTCTGGCGGTCCCTCTACTTCTTCCGCCCTCCACCCCACAACCGCTGGCCGCCGCCGCCGCCGCCGCCGCAGCAGCAGCAGCAGCGGTGGCGGCAGCATTCGCGCGCCTGAACCGATCGGTGGCGCCGCGGGACAACAGATGCCGGTTCGTCACGTATGAGAAGGCGGCGATCTGCCAGCAGGCCGGCTGGTCCGGGAAGTCCTTGGCGAAACGGTCCCTGCTGCTCACGACCTCCACGTTCTCGAGGCACGCCGCCGCCGCGCCCCCCGGGAGGAGGAGCTCCGCGGTGCCGCGCACCCAACCCTCGTGGGAGTCCGTGACGATCACGACCGGACCGTGCCTCTGCGCCGCCCTCACGAGCCGGACTACGCTTTGTCCCACGTTGAGGAGCTGTGAGAGGCCAAAGCGAACAAACGCGTTAAAACGGGTCGGAAACAGAGATTAAGAGTGACTGACTGGCCCGTGTCGTATTGGATGTATGCACGCCGTTTGAGAGTTGGGAAGGAAGCACATCAGCAGCAGAGCACCTTTCTACACAACTTTGGATCATGCGTTCACAAAATTGGTTGTCGTTGAAGTACCACGTGAAGGTCACACACCCTCCAAGAAATAGATTGATTTGTAGAAAATATATATTTCCCCTGGATTCCTCGCGTGCATGTACTCTTGTTGCCGACTCTTGACGTACGTATCCGTTGCCGACCCTGCGTGATGCACACGACTGCTGTTGTCGCAGTCAGTCAAGAAAGCCTTCGTCCGATAGCGGTGTTGTACTCATTCGCCGTTTCTGGTGATGGCATCAAGCACTCATACCGATGCGTCAAAGAGTCGGTCTCTGGCCCGCTTCATGATGCTACTGTGGCAAGAATCTGTGCTCCACAAACAGCAATATTATGAAGACCGGTCCAAGAAATGTTCCACACCATTTCTAGGAACGTTCGCACACGAAACCACACGTATCACAAGGACGCTCCTTCGTCCCCACTTCTTTTGGCAACCAAGTTCCGACACGCCAAACAGGAGGAAAAAGAGGGCACGTTCTGCAGCAGTTCATTCATCAGGGGCGCCCCGGCTGTGTGCGACACCCGGGGCTTAGGGACAGCAGAGTCGCCCGACGTGCGGTCTTGCGTTCGTCCACACGCGACGCTGCTACAGCGTTCCTTCCCTCCCGTTCCCGTCACTGCAGTGGCCGTTCGGCTGCCATGCCATCGGCAGCTTGCATGGATGGCGATCCGGCGCATCGAGGACGGCGAGGATTACTCCACTATCCGTGACGCGGTCCACGAGCAGCGCGGCGATGACCGGGTGCTGGACCTCGAGCGCGTGGGGGTCTATCCCGGGCCGAGTTCGTGCGCGGACACCAAGACTATGTCGAGGGTCATCGCCGTTCTCCAACCTTTGCTGGACCTCCACTGCTGTAGGTCGTGGTTTTCGGAGATGCCGAAAATACTGTTGGTAGTCTTGAATGAACCGAGCTCGGATGCTACATCGACGAATCCAGCGATCTTCGCTCGGGAACCCTGTACATGAAAGCACCCGAACTCCCCCACAAAACGCCACCATGCCCACCATGACCTCATACTTTTCTACCAACACGAATACAATCTCAAGCGTTCCAGAACCGACTACTGCTGCTGTACCATCAGACTTTCTAAAACATTGTACTTTCTGAAAGACAGAGGGAAGGAGGAGAAAAAAAAATCCCCCATGGTTAAAGAACCTTCCGATTGTGCCTGTGAAACAAACACCGGTATCGCCTCACCGGAATAGATGTGATGAAAACAACCACAACAAACAAGACACACCAACTGCTGCCTTACATATGCATATGCGTCCTGTCTTGAGGGTTGGAGGCGCGCTCCGGCTGACTACAACACCCTGGGTCGCACTGGCTTTTTCTCTCCCGTGTGTATGGTACAACTTGTAATATCGGATATCATATGCATCTACTGCTGCTGTTGTTGTTGTAGATCTATGTATATATCGCATGTTCTTTGCTCGGGTGATCTGTTGACGCATTGGTCTGATTAGCAGTCATGTGGCACTGCCGTCGACGGGGTGTCCTAGGTGGGCCTCTGGCCAGAGACTACAGGCAGGCAGTGTGCATAGTTACCACTCACTACTCTAGGAAAAGCAGCATAGGCTCGTGAACTGTACTGGAACAAAGAAGGATCGACTGATATGTATAACCATACACAGACGCGGGAAAACTTCGCTTGTGTGTGTTTGTTGTGGTGTGGTTGGGAATGTAGAGAAATCTATCTGCGACAGAATTCAGCAGTGAGAAAACAACAGCAGCAGTGACACGAACAAGACTGCTGATAGGGACGGCGTGCCGGAAAGACGAGGCTGGCCGTGCTCTCACCGCACACGGCCAAGGGTGCCTCGTTGCAAGGTTTTCGAGCGGTGTGCGGTGGCGACGCGGCGATGCGATGCTGCCGATTTTACGATTTTACAAAAGCATGGTGCTGCCACCCACCTGTATTCGCTCCTGCTTGCTCTCAGCACGACTGTTTCGCTCCAGCTTGGCATGGGTCGTCGGGCACAAGACGTCATCCCACCCGAACACGGTGACCGCGGGGACCCTCCTCCCTTCGCTGATGGCCCCCACGAGGGAGGGCTCGGCCATGGCGGCGCAGGCAGACAGCAGCAGTGTGTCCTAGTGCTCCTCTCTGTCCCGCCCAACTAACTTTCCAGGGTGCGCGCACTAAAGGGGCAGCAGATGACCGACCTACCCCACAATTTGCTTCTTTCGCTGTTGCAGTACAGTATCGAAGCCTAGACGCCGCTCGCTCTCAGCAGCAAGATTGACCAAGCCCACCACTCAGCGCCGTGAAAAATGCTGCCCCAAGGTGACGTGTGCTTCACGAAGCACCCGCTAGCCACCCCCCTCTGCGTGCGCTGCTTGCCTGTGATGTGTGTGACGAATGGAGAGAGGGTGTGAGACAGAATGCGCGGGAGCGGTCACACTTACACCGCATCCGTTGGTTGGTTTTTCGTTTCGGAAACTGGATCTTGAAAAGAGAGTAAGAAAAAAACAGTGAAAAAAACAGCATCAGAAGGCCGTCCGTCCGCCGTTCTCTTCTTACTTCTTACACACAGGAACGGGAGGGATGATCCAAAGGTCATCTCAGCAGCTTGCTATGTGCCGTTGGGTGGGTTGGGCTCTCTGTCTCCCTCTCTCTGTCTCCCCTATTTCCGTCTCGGAATGACCGCTCACCTCTCCCTTCTTGTTCCCCCCTGAGAGCTCACGCACAACCCAGGCTCTGCGAGTAAAACGATGATGATGAGAGGGTCTGGGAAAGCTGCATGTACAACAGTATATGTAGGAGAGCTTGTTTGTCTCCACACTCAAATCAAACGAATGACGTTCTCTCGATGTCGTTGAAAATACTCGAGTAAAAGCTCTAAAAATACGACCCGTGCCTGTAATAGCGGAGCATCTACCCGTCCGTCCGTCTGTTTCCCGTGCTCACAGGGGAGTGTGTGCGTGTCTGACGGTTCGGCTCTCTCCGTTCGGCTCTCTCGGTTGAGCTCTCTCGACCGCAGCAAGCAAACGCCCAACAAGCGCCGCCGCCATGTCAGAAAATCGGGGTATCGGGGACCAGACTGGTCTGGAATCTAGAACGCTCACCTCTTGGGACAATATAATGGATGATAGTGTGTCAGTTCGGAAATATATATGTGTGTGTCGGGTCACCATATTGCCATATTGGGCTTGTTACTTGGTAATCACGTCTGCCTGCGCGCGTGGGGGAATTTACACGAACTGCGTATAGTACCCACCAGATTTGTCATCATGTTGATCGACATTTGCGTTGTGTTATTTGATGCAAACTGCTGTACGCATACTTGTGTCTTACATCGGCATTATTATGCTACTGTGAGCTAACTGTTGAACGTTGAAATGGTGTCCGGCCACCGTCTCCCTGTAAGCTGTTAGCAGAGTGTCAGCTCTCGACATCTCCGGACAATTTCAACCATAGAAGAAACGAGAGATCAGAGAAGACGCTCTAAATAATATACATACGCTACTGCTGCACCTACAACCTCGTACCACCGCTGCGTCGCTGCAGGCTAGCGAATCTCTCGTGAATGTATGTGCAGACAATTTTTCATAAGGGTGCACAAAACGAAGAGCAGGGAGCGGTCTGTATACCGCAGCACGATGTGTGCAATTTACAAGTACATAGATAGTGACGTGTAGTAGTCAAGTAGTCACGTGTAGTATATACGTAGAATACTTCCTTGGCTGTTTTCTTTGCGCGTGCAATTGCTGCGTGTCCTCTTTGGGTTTTCACACCCACCCACGGACGTGCACATCATGAAGGACATGATTCAGTAGACCACTGCACAGTATTTAAACCCCCAAGACCCGAGCATTCGAGAATTTCAAACACCCAACAACAGGGGCCTTGGCCACGGCAGCAGAGAATGAGAGAGGGGAATGACGGGCGGGCGTGGTGTGCCGAACAGAGCACCATCACTACCAGAAAACAAGCGGATGATGACCTCTGCAGCAATCAATAAAACACACGCACCTCCTATACGACGAATATACAGTAAATAAGACCGGTCACTCGATGCGCCCATCGTTCATTCGTCTCGAAGATTTATCAGAAATAAAAACACAACAAACATGATGCCGATGAGATAGTCTATACACCGCTCCCAGTCAACGAAGCAACCGACCATAGCATAAATATAGCCTCGGGATGCACCTCGCGTTGCACAACCGGGCTATGTAGCACCGTCAACATCTTTCTTTCTCTGAGGTACAGTAGTATACTACGACAGACAACCCATGCGGGAGCCGATGCGCGAGATCGTCTTGTGCAGCTCCATGTCCTCATCGCACAGCTTTATCGCCTCGAGGCACACGCCCATCGCCGCGTACATGTCTCCCTCCCTCTCGTTCGACCAGGCCTCGAACAGCAGGCCCTTCGCCTGCTCCGCCGCCTCCGCGCCCGCGGCACACGAGCACCGGCGACACGTGAAACCGGCGCTCTCGGCAACCGCCTTGTGAGCCGCGCAGACCGCTGCTGCCGCCGCCGCCGCCGGGGGTGCGAAATGAGCACCGTCAGCCGCAGCAGCCGCAGGAGACGATGGGGCTGAAGTAGGAGCGGGAGGGACGGGAGAAAACTCCACCGGCGCTTCCTGCAATCCCTTGCTGCCGCTGCGCTGGCCCTTGTCGCACGCTGCTCCTCCGTCTGGGCTCCTCTCAGCCCCCCCCCCGCCAGAAGAAGGAGAAGCAAAGCATGCCTTCGGTCTGCTTGAACTCCCGACATCACCGTCGCCACGTTCGTGCCCTCCCAAGCTTTCATCCCCTCTTGATTCTGCCGCCACGGCTGCCACCCCGTCCACGTCCTGCGGGTGACTCGAGCCCGCAGTCGCGTAGCTGGACCTCGAACTAACGCTGCTTCTAACGCTCTGCGGCCAAGCACCGCCGTAGCCCCCCCGACCCGTTGCGTCAAGCGCTGGCGTGGGACCACCATCATCACCATCCCCGTTGTTCGGCGTCGGCGTCGCCAACAGAAGGTGGTCGTTCGGAAGCGACTGATCTCCGACCGCTTCGTTCCCCTCCTCCCCGCCGACCAGTGGCGGGAAGGAGGAACAGTAGGGCGCCGCGGCATTGCCGTCGTTCCACCTCCTGCCGCTGGTGGTGGTGGTGGTACCGGGGCTGTCGTCTGCCGTTGCCGTCGGCTCTCCTGGTGCCGCCGCACGAGCGGGGGAGGAAGACGAGTCCACCATCACTATGGCTGAGCTAAAGCTTCCGTCCCGGACGGTTTCCTCCTCCTCGGCACCGCACCCATCTTCGGCATTCCCTCCCGTTGATGAACGGTCTACGCCGTCACCCTCATCGCTCCCCCCTCCGTCGTACAACGCTACCGCCTCCACGCCACCATCCATAGAATCATCCGAGCTACGATAGCCCCCATGCTGTTGTTCCTCCTCCACTTGCACATCACGCGGGTTACACCTTTCCGTGTCATCGTCGTCTCCTGAGGAGTACGAGCTGCTCAGACCATGACGGCCGTCACCCTCCATCTCCGCCCCGAGCTCCTCCACCGCAAACTCCCTCGCCCTCTTCCTCGCAGCGGAAACCTTCTTCGAAGCATCGCTCGCTCGCCTTAAGGTTTCGCCCTCTTCAGCGGTGTCTCCGACGGTGCTTCCGCCGCCACCACCACCGCCTCTACCAGATGGAGAAGACGAGGCCACGGGGCTAACACCGAGCTCATCGTTGGCCCATCGCCGGGCTCTCTCTCTGCCGGCCCGGACTGCAGCCGACGCCTCTCCCTCCTCTTCCTTCTTAGCGGAGAAGGCGGGAGACGTGCCGCCGCTGAAGTCACCGACGATGCTGCGACCAGACGTGAACGGCGAGGATGCCGATGCCGAGTCCCCGGGCTCTTCAATTCCTCCCACCGTCTCTTTCTCCTCCTCGTACCCCATCTCTTCTTGGTCGTTCCACTCCCACAGCGGTCGGGAATTGCTCCCGGAAGACTCGCACCCGCCGCCGCCAGTACTCATCGGGCTATCGTTGTGCGCCGATCCCCCACCAATAGGCGGAGGCGACCCGGGGGGCGGGGTTGACACCGACCAGCTTTCGGGGGTCCCGAGGCCTTCTCGAGAAGCTTCGACGCTGCCGCTGCTGCAGGCACCACCGCTGTCGTTGATAGCAACTGGGGTTCGCGGTAACCCCACGGACACCTCACCATCTGCACGGCCACCGCCGCCATCGTCGTCGTCATCGTCCATCAACTCGACAACGTCGTGGCCCTTGCTAACACCACCGAACTCGCACTCGGAATCCGAGTCCCCGCTGAGCGCGATCGCCGTCGACCGGTCCGCTCCCGCCACGCTCAAGTCCAGCACCGGTCTACTCCCACCCTCCACGACGTCGTCGCTGGAAGAAGAAGACTCCGTCCCTGACGGCTGATGGCGGCGGAGTAACCGCGACGGCCCTTTCCCCTTCCTACCGGCCGGCCGCGGGGCCATCGTCGCGCCTCCGTCATCGTCATCGTCATCTTCATCATCGCCGTCGTCGAGATCTAGCTCCAGGGCGATCAGGTCCTCCTCGAGCAACCCGTGCATGCCGCCGCCGCGCATCCCCCTCGCGCCGTCGCCGGCGCCGTCGCTGTCCTCGACGTCGCTCTCGTCCTCCTCCTCGTCGATCTGGTTTCTCGTGTGCCAGCCACCCTCGCCGCCGCCGCCGATACCGCTATCGCCCTCGGCTGCCGGTTGCTGGACGATTTTCGGGAGGCCGTCCCCGTGGGCACTGTTTTTCGTCGCGAGCACCCACAAGCCGGTGTAAACGTATGTGTATGTGTACAGCGGGCACACAAAGAGGGTGGCCGTTTTTAATTGTCGTCCAGCGGACAGACCAAACACGAGGGCGCACGACACTAACATAACATGGTGTGAATGAATTTACTTACAAATTTCTGTGTGTATTATAACATGGGGCAAATGTAACGTGGAAGACGGGTGCCCCACCGGTATGCAGGAAAGGCGGCGGGACCAAAACGCGTAGGCAAACACAGCAAGCACTGCAGAACAAATACATTGATTCCTGTTTGTTTGCGTGCCAACACCAGGGCTAGAGCAGCAACGGCGACATCTACAGCAGGGCCGGCGGCCGACCGTCATAATCTTCTAGCACACCTTGCGCCATAGGCACCCCGCAGGCCGCACACGAAGTCCAGGTGCCCGTCGAGCGAGATGTCGCGCTGGGCGCGGCTTTCCGCGGCCTCCAGCCTGCCGCTGAGAGGGCCGTGCATCTGGTTCAGCTGGTCCAGTACCTGGTGTTCGCCAAAACCACCGCATGTTGAGGCATACATGCAAGCGTGCACATGTCACAAACAACACCGGCGTCGAAATCGCACGGTGTTTCGAGCGCCCACGAGCTGCTGCTGGTGCTGCTGTGTAACACTCGGTGACCATGACAACGATACCAACGACAAAGATACGACACCGGAAGCAGCGTTTCTAATTATTGTCCATGGATCCTAATACGACCATGACATACGCATCAACACCTGCGTACGTGCCACATACAAAACAAGAGAGAATTCGCAACCGTAGTCCGATTACCATGGCAATTAACCAACCAACACATAACATGCATGTACGCATCGGAACACGCGTGCCTGCCACATGGCCCGGAACAAGATACTCTAGTACAATAGTAACACGACCCACCGATTGATGCATTCTCTATCTCGAACGCGTGCTCTTTCTGCGATTGTTTGTGTATGCATACAATGGCGACCCCAAAAATGAAAATAAAAAATCATTGCCAACATATCTTAGACTATATTCTACTTACGTAAGTATAGATAAGAGATGCATTTGTTGCGTCATATTCAGAAAAAAAAAAACGATACTATACTTGTAGGCCGTTTCTTAAGCGCCCGGATATTTGTTCCAAGAAAAAATACTGTACTGTAGGTCTACTTACCCGGCAGGCTCCCGCGGGGTAGAGGGTAAAGAGCTGCTTCAACTCCGACCTTGAAAAGTATCGCACGTTCTTCTTCCGCTTCACGGTACCGCCCATCACCGTCCGCCTCAAACCATCCTTAAATATCTTCGTAACAAAAATATTTCCGAGAAAATAACAGCAAGGGGGGCGAAGAGTTATGGAGGGGGGGGGGGAGGGCGTGGGAGAATTGGAACTGGGAGGGGGGGCGAAGAGGCGCAAAAGATGCCTCAAGTCTCTACACATGCAGCCTGGACACGAAGCAACACAGGTCCACCCTTTCCTTGCAGTCTCATGCATATCATATCACATCACATCATTTCATATCATATCATTTCATATCATATTATATTATGTCAGTAGCTGTATAGTGGTGGTGAACACACCAACACGCAGTGTGCCCTAGAGGTATGCCCGAACAAACCAAGCATAGCGAACAGGTTGCCCGGACAATAAAAAAAAGGACCACCCATGTGAGGATGCCATATCTGCAACTACACACAACGCGATGGAGTTGCACTCATTTGAGTTGCTTCGCACCTGTTTCTCGTACATTTTTTCCTCCACCGTGCCTGCCACCAAGAACAGACGACGTTCAGTTCGAAAACAAAAAAACACGACGCGGGCAACAAGTTTGTGCGCGTGGAAGGAGGGGGGGGGTAGAAAGAAGGATTTAATGCGAGGAAAACACACCAGGACACGCTACGGGACTCATGGGCGACGATGCCGACAACGAAACGCAAGATGACAGTGCGGCAAGTGCGTCGAGTTAGTCTGCCAGACCCCC